GGGACCTGCTTAATCTGTTGAAAGTTTTCTGACTTGTAGGATGGACAGATTGAGAATTAAAGTCTTTGCTAGTTTGTGGTTTGTAAGCTGTTTAATGGTAATCTCCCTCCTAACCCCTCTTTTGATATTACCAAGTAGTTCCCATGTTAACTGAAAAGACCAGGTGGAAAAAGGAGTAATTACTTTCATTTAGAAGGTATCTAGATAGGTTGTGAAGCTCAGGAAAGCCAAACTCAGAAGGAAATATGGTAATTTAGAGTCAAATCTAATGAGATTTGTTTAATTAAATGACTTTGAGGATATCCACCTATCTGATTTGTTTAAACTCAGAGAAAGATTTACCATATCCTTTTACCTATTCTTTAACCAGAAGATATATAATCTCAAATATTTTATCAGTTAATTTTAATAGATACTAAAAACAGGGACTTTTTTTTTCTGCTGTTTTTTTTTTCTTCTTATTCCAAGATACTGCAGAGAAACAAGATTATATGGTCAGCTAATACAGCATATCCATAGTTATAGATGTTATCTGGCTTTCCTGCTGGTGTGATCAACCATCTTACAGTATTGCCAAGCTTTTGCAAACCTCTTTATGGGTAGGAAGATGGTTGCTCTACGTTAGCTCTTATTTCACGTGAGCTAAAGCATTCTCTGTGCTGATAGATTTATGGTAAAGGTGGCTGCAGAAATGCTCCCACCATCAGTGCATAATGGATACTTTGTCAGTGAGCAATTTGCCTCCATTCATGGAGGTTCAATTACCAGCCTTGCTGGACTGATGACAGTTTTGAGTGCATCATAGAGCTTTAGTGTTTCCTGCTTGTCTGGGTGTGACAGTGGTGCATCTGTGGTCTGATCCAAGTAGATACATCGTACAGGTCTGCACCGATTTTGGCTGGGATGGAATGAATTTTCTTCATAATAGCCAGCATGGAGCTGTGTTCCGAATTTTCCTGAAAATTTCCTGAAAAAAACCCAGAGTAGATAACATGGAAGTGTTTTGGCTATTGTTGAGCAGTGTTTGTGTAGTCAAAGCCTTTTCTGCATGTCACCCCATCTCACCAGTGTGCGAGCGTACAAGAAGTTAGGAGGGGAGACAGCCAGGACAGCTGATGCAAGCTGACTGAAGGAATATTCCAGACCATATGGTATTATGGAAAGCATATAGAACTGGGGGGCAGGGGAGAAGAAGAAGAAAAGTTGGAATGTTTGGAGTGATGGCATTTGTCTTCCCAAGACACCACTATGTATTATGGAGCTCTGCTTTCCTGAGAATGACTGAAAATCTGCCTGCCAATGGCAAAGGAGTAAATAAACTTATTTCCTTTCCTTACATTTGCAGCTTTTGCTTTATCTATTAAACTGTTTTTAGTTCAACCCATGAGTTTCCTCACTTTTATCTTTTTTATTCTCTTCTTCACTGGGTGTGAGTGAGCGAGCAGCTGGGTGGGGCTGAGTTGCTGGCTGGGATTAAACCATGACATGATCAAAGATCATTTAAACTTTCTTTTCAAATACTTCTCAATATGCACATAAGGCCTCAAATACATGAGGCCTTATGTGCATACTAGTGATTGCAGAGGATCTATGGCTCTTCTCTCTACAAGGGACAACCTTTGCCAAGCTCGGTGAGGTGATTTGTGTCTGCTGCACCATTGATTAAGGGTTGTTGCAGCAGCAATGGCATGCATCAGTTTTGTATTCCAAAAGCATTTCTTTGCTCAGGCTGTTTAGATTAATGGCAGTATAGTCCAGGTCAGAATCAAAATTCTTGCAGGAGCACCATTTATACTGTATTTTGTTATTCCCAATAAATAATTTTAGTAGTGATATTTTATTAATCATTTGCATTTCATGAGTTTCTAAGCCTGCAGTTTGGGGGATACAGTAAAAATGATCAAGATTTCTTAATAATTGCGTATTAACAGACTGTCCATTCTTGCTGTTGGGTCATTTATTTCCCTTCATCAAACTGGGGAAATGAATAAATGTAATCACAGTTTATAAAAGCATATGTGGGACTAAATTCATACAGGGTATCACTTTGAAGCTCTCTTTATGGGTTAATTAGATCATGTATAATGGTACTTAAATCCTTACAAGATAGTTTGAAGAAGTGAGTAGCAGCAGCTAATATTGAAAAAAAACCCAAGATCTAAGAAAAATCTGACCATCTGTACTTCTGTAATATATGGGAAAGAGATGCAATGAGGGTGCATGTCTGTTCACAACTATCTCACTGGATAAGTATTTCTTTATGAACATCACTGGAAATAATGCTCTAAAAATTTAGGAAATATAGTGCCTTTGTTATGGTTAATTGTTCTGAGCAGATTTTTAAATCCTTGTCTCCTAGTTGTCTTAGTAGTTTTCTGATCAGAGGTACATAAGGGACCAATGAGTGTTTGACAATATAAAAGCACTAAGACCGGTTTTGACATAGCTTAAAAAGAAAATGCAAAACAACAAGCACAGACTAAAAGAAAAAAATATATATTAGCCTTTGAATTCCTGTACAAGTACCAATGGCGCTATAAAATATATTCTATCAGACAAAGCCTCCTGCAAAGCCAGCAATGAAATTATGGGGGAGAACCTTCTGCCTCAGTTTCCTAAGGTGCAAATGTTATAGAATAGCAAGCTGGAGTGATGCTTTCAAGTGACAAAGCATGAGAGTCTCAATTATTTGCCTTGCTGAGGTTTAAATTTAAACAATAAAAGAAAGAAAAAAAAAGGAAGAAAAATTGAAAGAAATTCTTCACATTGAACTCTTTTGTAGCTGATGAGGTCATCTGTGCTACAATCCTGTACTGCAACATCCATTAGCCTCCCATTTTTTCTCTGACCCTCCCATTCATCATCTTTTGAAGCTGTAGGAAATGAAGCAAGCACTGGCATTGCTCTTTCCTGACTCTGCAGTAGGCATTCTGGGAGGCTGTCTGGGAGACCAATGGAGAAGGGGTTAAAGCGCTCTGTGTCTTGCACTTGGTTACTAACCTTCCAGCCAAGGGGGAATTGCTCTCCTTTCATTGAAGACTTTCAATCTTTTTGCATTACTTTTGGTGCTGTATAACATTTTAAAAGCTCCCTGACAGACATGGCTGGAGGCAGAGCTCTGCTGGGAGAACTGCAATGTACAGAGTCTTCTCAGCAAAGAGAAGTGGTATAGCAATAAAATTGACTACAACATGACTTTGGCATTTCTGAAGCAGTGCAGACTATCCCACCCCTTTTTTTTTTATATTTGTTTCCACCTCCCATCTATGTCTGGGCAATTCAAAAGGATATGTTGAGTTGATTTGTTCTATTTTTTGCTATGTTTCATGATTACTATGATTTTGCCGTAAAAACAAGGCAGGCACTCTGCAACCATGGATCAGGAGAGGCAAAAAAGTTTGGAAATCTTGGGACTGAATTATGGATGAACACAGTCTGAATGTGATGTTATATACCACTGAATACATTAAAAAAAAAGAAGCAGAAAACCACATGTGAACTGTTCAGAGAAAAATAAATTCATACCAAATATATTGAAGGCAGATCTCTGTTGCAGTTAGGTCATGTCTTAAGGTTCCTTTGCTGGAATAAAGTCCAAAGACTGCAAATGATTGTGGAAGTAAGAAGTTTTTACTCATTGCACAAAACATTATTTTGCTGTTGATGAAAAACATTAAAATGTTTGAACATAACTTAGAAAAACTTTATTTAAAGTATTCTGAGCAGATGGGAGTTCTTTCCTCATATTTTATCCTTTCTGAAGGCAGAATTAAAACACTCAGTAGATACCTTTCACCAGGTTTTTTGCTTTCTTTTTTATTAAGACCCAAAATGTAGCCTTTCAAATCTGAACAGGAAGTCTCACCCTAAATTTAATATAGGAAGTGCAGTTATTCTTCTAGGGTGGTTTTTTTTTTTTTTTTTTTTTTTAAGACTTGTTAAATTTTCCAGTTTCCTGATTATAAATTCTTTCTATTTAAACACTTCAGCATGTACCCAACAAATAAGAATTTCTATGCTATTTATTGTTATGGATAGTAATAATATTATTCATAAGGAAAATATAACCTTTGGCAGTATTTGAAAAAGAAAAAGATATATGGCTAAGTAATTTATTATTCTTGTTTTTTGAGGTCCATATCATGTCATTGTTTTTTAAGCAGAACTCTATCGATTTCCTAGAAACTTATGCTTAAAAATCAATGACACAGTATGACCTTGACAAAGTGGTGAATTCCATAGCTCTATAAATTGTATTTTGTTTTTTAAAATGTAAAATGCATCTATCTTAAGTCCTACAGGTAGTTATTTTTTTTATATGTGGCAACCAGCACACTGTAGAGAAGACCTCAAGAAGCTTTTGTGTCAGAGAAAATGAGCAAAGGGTCTTGCTCTTCACAGTAGGGTGAAAGAGTGGATCCCCTGTTCTCCAGTATTTTGCTTGTAAATCTTTTTTGAGTAAAAGATTTTTGAGTAAAATTTGAGTAAAACTAAAATAAAAAAGAGTAAACATTTTTGGTATCACTGATGGGAAGAAATTTTGTTTGATAACTGATCCTAAAGTTATCTACAGGACTACAGCCCTGTCTCAGATGGACACAAAGGTAATGCTAAGCAGAGCAAGAATGAGGTAATAACTACACAATGTTCTAGAGCAGCTCAGTGCTACAATGAAAATGAAAATAGCAATCTCTTTTTAACTGTGATTCTTAATATTTTTCTCTGTCTCTAGAAACTAACTGGGTGTGAAAATTTTGATGAATGCTTCAGTGTAATCCTATGTAATTTGATGTTGCATGTAAATGTCTTTTATAGGTCCCTATAGATGGAATTTATTGCGGCAAATACCTTGTCATCAGAAGGATTAATGCCTGCATTAGCATTTCTGCAATAAAATCAGAAGTCAAGTGGTGAAGGCCACAGACACCTCAAACCTGGATTCCTCTGCTCGGCATTAAGTGCTGGAGTTTTTATTTCTTGTGATAGAGAAGCCATTGCCAATGCTCACAAGGAACTGCTTATCCCTGCTTCTCTGGGTCCTGTTTGATGGAGGTCTCCTAACACCACTGCATCCACAAGCACAAGAGATTTTAGAAGGACAGCCAAGAGAAAATGTTGTTCCAGTGCCAGGGAGATCATCTTCCCAGCGAGTCAAACGAGGCTGGGTGTGGAATCAGTTTTTTGTGCTGGAGGAATACATGGGCTCTGAACCTCAGTATGTGGGAAAGGTAATTTTTTACTATTTCTTTGAAAGTTCAAATGATACAGAGAAGTAGTATAATGTATTGTAATTGTGTACCTGTTTCTGGTGGGACAGGACAAATCTTCAACTGGCAGTAGTTCCCTCTGCTCATTGTTTTTACCATCCAGCCTTTCCTGTAGTCACTATATACTTTCTGTCTTTGTATGTTTGTCTTATTTCCCTGTTCTTGCTTTTTATATTTAACAAAAACAACAGCAACAACAACAATACAACAAACTAAATAAGAGAGTTCTGATATAAGTCTGTGTTTTACAACTAATTTTAATTGAGAGTACTGTGGTAGCATATTTGATTTTTAGCAACAAACATTGTTCTGATATCAAGAGATAATATATAAACTTTAAATCTCAAACTCAGAATGAACAGTCATTCCTGTGGTTGATTTGGTTATTCCAAGAGTCTTTTCAGCTAATGAAGAGACATTCTTTTTGGTCTGTTGTCTTATGTCTCAGAACCATTTGCTTTTATTTCTGATTGTTCAGATTGTTTTCAAGTATTTCTAATATGTTTTATTTCTTCATAATTCAAAGTCCTGCAGTAGAGGTTTTATATTGTGTGTAGACAAGCACAATCATACCTGCTGATAATTTTTGCAATTCCCTCTCTCATCATATATCCACTGTTTCTGTAAGAGGGCATAAGTAATTGACAGAAAACTGTTTGAGGGGTGTGGGGGTGGTGAATTTAAACAACAGAGTTTTCAGATAGGAAAGCTGAAAAGGACACCTGAAGAAAATCTTAGCAGAGTGTATAATTGGATGCTGTGTATAATTTTCAGTTTAAGTAAAGGACTTTACTCAGTGAAAATAAAAAGTCAGGAATTTGTTTCCTGGGTCCCCAAATGCCACTTCCCTAGACAGCAAGGTTTCAAATTCACCTACTGTAAAAATGAGTCATCATGCTTCAGTTTTTACTTTAATACCATTGTGAATATTTTTTTTTTTTTGTGTGTACAAGTGGGAAAATTTTTTTCTCCAAAAATATAAATAAATCAACAGAAAATTAATGTTTCCTCCACCCTTCCAGAAAACTTTTCTGAGGATGTATAAATAAAACAGTAGATTATTTAGCACAGCAGCCAAAAATGTATTTGGATATTGCATGTGAAGACATTCGTGTTAAGCTCTAAAATGTATTAATCAAAGCAATTTGCAAAGCAGTGTGTTTGTATCACAAAGTTAATACAATGAGCTTGCTGTAAGTCTGAAGAAATGGGAGCCACATAATGAAAAAAATCATATTTGTGATATCCAGCTGATATGAGTTACTCTTTCTCTAAGACATATCTGTTCTGGCACCTCGCTGAAGATGCCAACAAGGACTCTCATCACATTTGGTGCTGTAGCACAGGCAATGTGATTGCTGTGCCTTTAATGCCAAAAGACAGAGATATTACTGATGCATATTTTCAGTAGTCTTTATTCCTTTGTCTAAGTTTTTCTTGGTAGTCATGTAGGGTCAGTTCTAAACTGCCAAAAAATTGGTAATTTTGCACAAAATGGACTATTATCAATGTACTGATGAATCAGATTCTTCCTTTGTCCTGTTTTTGCTCCACTGACATTAAGTTTATAAGCAACTTTAGTACTAATGGAGTATTTTCATTAAGACTAACACTCATTACAGATTTACCTGGAATATTTTTATCTCTTAAGACTTTTTTGAACTGTGACAAATTGTGTGACACTTTTCAAGTACATCGATAGACAAAAAGTCAAAATCCTTTTTTTACGTCAAAACACCTACTTCTAGAATACAGCAATTAATTCTAGGTTAACACTTTCTTCAGCAATGTTTATTTTGTTGTTTATCACAACTTGTTTTATCTGTATTAACTATCTGCTTTATTATATCTGAAAAAAACCAAGAAACCCTGCCAGTCTTTGTATGTCATCTTTGCTGAAAAAACCCAGATGACAAACAAATAAACAAAACCGAGCTGGAGATGTTGGTGTTTTCCCCTTATTTTCCACAAAGCTCTCAATGTAGGTATAACACTGAAAGAGAGAAGTTCCTTAGAGAAATTGTGCTTTTAAATCCAGATAGCAAAAGCCAAGCTTCATATAAATTCAAACCATTGTCAGCATACTAAAATATATCCAACAGTCACTCTTGGTATCTTTAGATCATATGCAATTTTTTAAAATAACATAAAATTTTTGAGATGCTAAATGCAGTTGAGTTCTGGATTGACTGCAGAACTAAATCTGCAGAATCAAATGATTCACCAAAATTACGTGTTTATTCCAAAAGCATATATTTTCAATTTAATTCTTTTTATAATGCTACTGTTATATATTTTTAAGTAGTAATAAATATATTATAAAGTGTAGGATATTTCATGTGACCTGAAATCACACGGGTCTTATCTTCCTCTAGCCATGACATCAGGACACTTGTGCATAGACATTTATATTATTATGTCACAGTAATTTATAAATGGGATTTTAATGTACCTATTAAATCATCTGACAGTTTCAATAAAAAGTTGAGAGTGGCTAGCTAATATTGCAAACCTTCTGTAAGAGAATACAGATTTACAGAAATAATGTCTTCTATTATTGGCCAGTGCATGTAATTCCATTCATGCCTGTTTTTAGACGACTATCTAAAGAAATGTCAGGTTGCAAATCAAAATATACTTTACAAACTGGTGGGGATTAGTCTAGCTTACAGGTGGCAATTTTGTAATTGTGCTTGAAGCTTACACAATAAAGCATTCGACCTGATTATTAAAGTTTGGGTATCTGCTTGTGTAATCTAGAAGAATAAAAATCCATCAGATTGATAACAGAAGATAACCCTCTTTGCTCAACACTCATTAAGAGATCCAGTCTAAAAAGTAAAATTAGAGTATGATATTATCATGTAACCCATGAAAATGGACAGGGTGTTGGGTGTAAAATAAGGCTTGCCCATTTACTTAGCAGTGCTTTACTTGTTTTCCTGGTATTGTGAAAATCCAGAAAGCCAGGCAAAAACAGCACGTGCAGATGAAGACGAAAAGTTCATGCCTTGTTTTTTGCAAAAAAGCACAGGTCTCAGTGAATGGTGACAGAAATCATCAGAGGATCAAGTGCTACAAGTTCCAGCACAATTTACACAAGGGAGCAGTTTTAATTGCCCTTATGCAAGGATTGCTGAAGAGGGTGCAGCCCCACCAGGACACTACAAATATGTCTGTAACCTTTCTTTATTGCTGTGTTTCAACAATGACATGCAGAATCAGCAAAATAAACTGAAAGTTCAAGAGAACAACATGGTCAAGATAACACTAGCAAAGGTTTTCGTTGTGCTGCATGTGGCATCTTCCCTTTATATGTGTCTTTGCATTCCTAGTGTGCAGGTGTGCATCACATTTTTCTTGTGTTGCACACCTGCACAATTGTTTCCAGTGAGATTTTTTTTGCTGTTTGTCCTCAAGTTTGCAGAGACAGGCATATGGATGCAGATGGTGCATAGGAAAATATTGCAAAGTCCTCTTCAGTGTGGTGGCCATTTCTCTTCCATTTTCCAGTGTGGCAAAAACAACCAATCAACCAACCAACCAAACAAAAAAAACCCCCAAAAAACCCAACACCCCCCACCAAACAAGCAAGAAAACCCAACAAAAATCCCAGAACCTCAGTTTACCAGGTATTTTTCTGCCAATTAATAACCTATGTTTTACGAGTTTTTTGTTTAAACCTCTGTCACATTAATGCATGCTCACATACAAACTACTACAGATATTTTTTGTTAAGAAAAGGATGCTGAAAAATTTAATATTCATGGCTGTTCTATGGCAGTACAGGGTAATGTAGCAATATGGTATTTTTCATCTGACTCTGTCCTGAAAAAGCCTCATCATCTTCAAAGTTTTGCCCATGTATCAAGGCAGATTTGGAAGAAGCAGAGCTCTAGATCTGTGACCAGAACAGCGTGCTTTTTCAAAACCTTATCATTTATACTCTGTATCTGAAATATGAGTATAGAATTTGTTTACGCATTTTTAGTGGATAATTTTTAATATGATGGAATTAATGTTGACCACCTTCCATTAGGCTTAAATCAACATGTACTTCTGAATACATGCTTTCTTTTTACAGTTATTTTCCCTCTTGGGTGAGTGTCTGTATGACAGGGCAGTCTGTAAAGGAAATTATGTACTGCTTTTTTTTTTAATCTGTTCAGACAAACAATTTTACAGAGCAGTGGCTATCATTTTGTCATTATTCAGAAGCATTGAGTTAACTTGAAAGAAAAAAAAAATTAAGTAAAAGAAATACATACAATGAATTTGAAAGCTACTGCCCTTTGAAGGAAAAAAAAACCCACTTAAATCTATTAATAAATGTACCCTGATTAAACTCATCCCTTTTAAAATTGTATTTACACTAGATTTCTAATATGATCACAATAATATTTCATTTAAAGTTGTCAAAAGGGTTTTTTTGTAATTTATTAGATTCCATTCCAACTGAAGTAACAACATTAGAGATAGCTGTGTATTATTTCCATTAGACATTTGCACAGTGCCATCATCAAGGCGATGAAAATTGTTTCAGGGGCTGCTGCTAGTAATGTATTAATTGACTCCCAAGATGCAGGACATCACAGTTACTCATTCTGCATGACTTTAATATGAAAGATATGCTATGTATAAGAATGAGCTTGTTCAGTACATCGAACATATATTCACCTCTGTCTGCTGACATCAAAGTGAAATCTTGTTAGGACTTAGTGGTCTTTAGATAGTAATTTAAAGAGCAATCAGGCATGATCACATTAACCTGGCTTACTAAACTGGCTTACAGAGTTTATGCCATGCACATATTCAAGCAAAAGCACTGTCACAATTTATTACAGACAAGGAAATTGATGAGGAGAAATGAAATGGTAAAAAATGGTGTAAGAAAAATCAGAACTGGTATCAGAATTTTGGATTTCTTTTCTTGCTCTGTTGAGCTGAGACCTTTGTCTCTC